CAAGGAAGAAAACCAAGCGTCAGAATGTAAGGCAGGAAGGGATAGGCTAACTCTACTGTTTTGTGTAAATGCAGTCAAGTTTACAATCAGGACTGCCCTCATCGGTAGAACTACCAAACCTCGAGCCTTGAAAGGAGAAGATCAACACCCACTGACAGTTTTATGGTTGTACAAAAAGAAGGACTCAACAATAAGAACACATTTTCTGGATTGGTTTCATCAATGCTTTGTCCCTGAAGGCAGAAAATGCATTGCCAATAAAGGACTCTCTTTTAAAGTTCTTTTGATATTGGACAATGCCCCTAACCACCCAGAACCCATGAGTACAACACGGAAGCTGTCAAAGTGGTCTACCTGCTTCCAAACCCAACATCTCTAATTCAGTCTCTCAATCAGGGGTCATAAGGAACTTTAGAACTCATTACACACAGTTTTCTATGGAAAGGATTGTCAATACTATGGAAGAGAATCTGGATAGAGAATGTCATAAAAGTCCAGAAGAATTACACCACTGAAGATGCCATTGTTGTTATAGAAAGATCTGTGAAAGCCACCAAGCCCTAAACAATACATTTCTTCTGGAGAAAACTGTGTCCAGATGTTGCACATGACTTCACAGGATTTATGGCAGAGCCGATCAAGGAATCATGAAAGGGATTATGGATACAGCAACAAAATGTGGGGGATAAGGTGTTTCAAAATATGAATCTTGGAGAAATTCAACAGTCAATAGATGCCAAACTCAAGGAATTAATCGAGGACCTGATGGAGATGAGTGCTTTCCAATCAGCACTTGACAAGGAAGAAGATGTAGAAGAAGCAGTGCCAGAAAAAAAAATTGGCCTTAGACAGTACAAGCCTCATAGAAAGACTTCCAATTATTTAAGACTGCTATTGATTTCTATTACAACATGAGCCCTTCTATGATATGGGCACTGAAACTAAAGCCAATGGGGAAGAAGGATTAGTACTGTATAAAAGCATTTTTAAATAAATCAAAGAGAAAAAAAACAGACAGAAATTATGATGTATTTCCATAAGGTTACACCAAGTGCACCTGCCTCACCTGACTCCCCTTCCACCTCCTGTGCCTCTTCTGCCTCTGCCACCCTGAGACAGCAAGACCAACATCTACTCCTCCTCCTCCTCCACAACCCACTCAATGGAAGACAATGAGAATGGATACCTTTATGATGATTCACTTCTGCTTATACATATTCAACTTTTATTTTAGATTCAGGAGTACATGTGCAGGTTATCTGAGTATATTGTGTGAAGCTGATGTTTGGGGTATGATTGCTCCCATCATCCAAGTACTGAGCATAGTACCCAATAGTTTTTCAACTCTTGCACCCCTTTCTCTCCCCTTTAGGAGTCTATAGTGTCTATTGTTGCCATCTTTATGCCCATGAGTACCACTATTTAGCTCCCATTTCTAAGTGAAAACACATGATATTTGGTGTTCTGTGCCTGTATATATTCCCTTAGGATAATGACCTCCAGCTGCATCCATGCTGTTACAAAGGACATGATTTCATTATTTTTTTATGGCTGCATATTCCATGGTGTATATGTTCCACATTTTCTTCATCTAAGCCACTGTTGACAGGCACCTAGGTTGATTTCATGTCTTTCCTATTTGGAATAGAGCTGCAATGAACATACCAGTGCATGTGTTTCTTGGTAAAACGATTTTTTTTGCTTATATCTAGTATTGGGATTGCTGGGTCAAATGACAGTTATGTTTTAAGTTCTTTGCAAAATCTCCAAACTACTTCCCACAGGGGATGAACTAATTTGCATTCCCACCAAGAAGGTACAAGTGGTCCCTTTTCTCAGCAGCCTCACCACCATCTGTTGTTTCTCGACTTTTTAATAACAGCCATTCTAACTGGTGTGAGAGGATAACTTATTGTGGTTTTGATTTTCATTTTTCTGATAACTAGTGATGCTGAACATTTTTTCATATGTTACTTTTTAGCTGGCTGTATTGTCATAATACAGGATATAATACTAATAACATTCAAAATATGTGTTAATTGGACTGTTTATGTTATTGGTAAGGCTTTTGGTAAACAGTTGGCCATTACTAGCTAAGCTTTTGGAGAATCAAAAGTTCTATGTGGATTTTCTGCTGCACGTGTGTTGGTCCCCTTCATTCCCACATTGTTCAGGGGTCAACTGTACTAGGAATGAACAATTGAAAATTGGATTAAAAATACCACTTAAATAGCATCAAAAACATGATATACTTAGGGATATATCTGACAAAGGATGTGAATGACTGTACACTAAAAACTACAGAACACTGATGAAGGACCTAAATAAATAGATACGTTAATGAATTGGAAAACTCAAAATTGCTAAGATGTTGTTCTCCCCAGTTGATCTATAAATACAATACAATCTCAATCAAAATCCAGCAGACTTTTTGTACAAATTAATGAACTTATTCTAAAATGCATATGGTAATGTAGAAGACCTCCAATAGCAAAAGCAATATGAAAAAAAATTAGGTAACACTACCTCATTTACAGATTATTACACAGCTATAGTAATCATATATTTCACAAATAGATCAACAGAACAGAATACAAAGTCTAGAAATACGTGCACAGATGTAGGAACCACCAAGTTTTTACAAAGGTACAAAGGCAATGCAGTGGAGTAAAGGTTACGCTTTTCTACCGTTGAATATTCACACGCAAAAAAACAAGAAAAGACCTCTGTGTCTTCTCACCACAAGTCTATAAACCCAGTTTTACCACAATGAAAACATCAGGCAAAACACACACTAACATTCTAGAGGAACATTCTACAGGACACCTGACCAGGCTGCTCAAAACTACCCAAGTCACTAACAACAAGGGGAGTCTGAGAAACCATCACAGGCTGGAGGAGACTAAGGAGACATGGTAACTACATTTCAGGTGGTATCAATGGGATCCCATAAAAGAACAGGGAAATTAAGTAAAAATTAATGAAATCTGAAGGAAACAGACTTTAGCTTTTAGTTCATCATTATGTGTCAATGTCGGTGAATGAGTTGTGATGGATGTACCGTAGAAACATGAGATTTAACAATGGGGGAAACTGGACACAGGGTAGATGAGAATTCTCTAAACTATTTGTTGCAACCTTGCTATAACCCTATATTTATTCTACAATGAAGCATTTGTAAGAAAGGTCACTCAACAGACTGTGAGAAAATATTAGCAGGATCCCTGGGGATGCACATGGTGAAGGATTCATCAGAGGCATGGTGAGAGCTGCTGGATGATCTCTGCAAATGGTTTTGGAGTCTGATGCTGGAGCTTAAGGACCCCAGGTGGGTCTTCTGTTGAAGAGACTATTCTTTCCCATTTGAACGATCCTGACACCCTTGTCAAAATTTGGTACCTAGTCGATTGGCCAAGGATGTATATGTATGGGTTTATTTCTGAATTCTCCATTCTATTCCATTGGTCTGTATCGAAAGATGTTGTGTGAGACAATAAGGGGAAATTTAATTATGGACTGTAAATGAGACAATATTAAAGAATTTTTATTGTCTTAGATATGATAATGATACTGTGGCTATGTAACAAATTTTTCCTATTTTTTTATATTAAATGAAGTATTCAGTGATGGAATGACATGCCAAGAATTTCTTATTAAAATGGCACAAATTGCTTTTTAAAAGTTTTCTTTAAAAATACAGAATAAAAGGACACATGAATTAGCACAGAAAAATAAAAGGACACATGAATTAGCACAGAAAAATGAAAATGATTTAACCTAAGAATGGATAAGTGGGTGCTCATTACACTGAGTCTCTCCTTTGTGTATGTTTGAAAACTTTGAAAATAAAAACTTGATGTAAATGATGTTAGTGGGAGGCCTTAGTCCTGTCCACCAAAAGTTAACTTTGAATTTGGATCTTGGACTAGAGCCAGAATCTTAGAGCAATGGCGGAAGCACAGATCTTTTATTTATTTGTAACCATATCCCACCCCCAGAGCTGCACCTGCCATGGATGGTAGAGACGGAACCTGAATTCTTTTCACCTAAAACCAGTGATTAATTCTGTCGGAACTCAACAAAAATTCAAAAAGACTAGGAGTGAATTCCTCTTTTTCCCATTAAAACTATTTCAATGTTCTGCTGAATTATTTGCACATCATTAATCAACACACACACATTAGACTGCTGAAATGTAAAAGAATGACCACACAGAATGACATAGTTTAGAAGTCTGTCCCCTCCAAATCTCACGTTGAAATTTGATCCCTGACGTTGAAGATGGGGTCATCTGCCATCCTTGTTAAAGTATTTAGTTACATCTCTGGATGTAATTCTCTTGGATAGGCTCAAGGAGATTTTGTTACAAGAGACTTTCAAGAAAATCCCCTGTGCAGGGTCTGGGACACTGCACACTAACACACCTGCACATACACAAACACGTACATGTGCAAACACGTACTCTATCATTAAGTAATGCTCCCTTCTCATCAGACAGATGAGACTCAGACTCTGAATCCTGTTTCCCAACAAGATGTAACCAACTGCATGCTTTTCCCAGACACATCCTGGCCTCTGAAACAAGGAAGGAGCAATATGCAGTGTCCATCCTTTTGATGACAATTTACTTTTGTGGTTGGGCCATATCCAAGGCTCTTTGCCAGAAAGCCTTCTTTGAGTTCTGAATTCCTCTGTGAGAATTCTGCTGGCTTTACATGTATAGTCATAAATATATACATTAATATATATATAACCTTCCACAAGTATAAAAACTCTCATACATCCATATTCTTTAATAAACACATAAACACATTTATTTCATATCTCATAAAAGATATTTATAATCAAAATAAATGAAACCATATATAGTTTAATGTTTAATATTTTATAGATATCTCTATCATAGGTGATATAAAATCATATAGGTTTTTATATCTCTAAAGGCCTCTGGGTGACCCTGTGAGCCACAAGGAACTCAGTGTGGGTTCAGGAAGTGGCAGGGCCTCACCCTCAGCCAAAGGGTGTGGGGTGCAGGCAACACATAAGTGGAGGTTGGTACTATAATTAATGGAGCATACTATAATGAATGGAGGGTAAAGGGGAGAAAAGTGCTTAGACAAGTCTAACCTCTTAGATTTCTGCCACTTGCATCTCCTGGCCTAGCCTTGTGAAGATCTGAAAGTCATGCTTAATTTTGAAAGGCCTGCAACTGTAGTCCTCCTGCTTTTTAGAAAGAGCATTATTTCACTTTCCCGTGAGTTGGCTGAACAGCCACTCTTTCGCCAAACATCTGCCAATATGTGAGAGAATATGACTGTGTTACCAAGTCTATTGAACCTTTTAAGAGGCCAGAACAATAGATAAATTGTATACTCTATCCCTAATAAAATAATATACTGAGATTAGACATTAGGTGTTTAATCTGGATTTAGCAACTATACATTTGCTAAGAATGTTATTCTGGTATTTGTCAAGGACTTTTCAATCACAAGTGACTGAATCCCTATTTAAACTGGCTACTCTCACAATATTACTCAATAGTGTTTTGGATGTATATGCTCCAGGAAAGCAAAATAAGTGGTATAAATATCAGAGAAGGGAATTCTTTGCAGATGACATTGTATATTGTACATCTAATCTATACTAGAAAATAATAAGAAAAGTTAGTAATGTGGCTGGATACAAGATACATATGCAAAAAACAAACTTTAATTTCTCATAGTCAGCTAAATGTAGAAATGGAAAAATTGCCCTGTACCCAATAGTTTCAAAAATACTGAAATGCCGAGGAATAAATGTTAATAAGAAACATAAAATGTTTATATAGTGAAAAATTTTATTTATTATATAAAACAAGATCTGAATAAATAGTGAGACATACATATTCATGAACAGGAAGACATAATAGCAAAAAGAGGCCAATCCTCAATTCAGGAAAATCCTGTAACCCTACATGTAGGGCTCCAGTCAACTAAGATAAAAGCAATAATATGGAAATATATTCATGTAAGGAAAGCATTAAAGAGTGTTTACATGGCCTTATTGCTAAAGGCAAAAAATGCAAAATGTCTAAATCTATATCAATATTAATTGGTTAAAAACTACATTCTATCCAAAGTATTTTATGCAATTATTAATAGAACTTGTCAAAGCTGTCTGTATTGGTCTATAAAGGTATCTATAATTTATTGGCAAGTGAAAAATGCAAAGAAAAGAAGAATATGTCCAGCCCAATACTAGATTTTATTTTAACAAAATAGGTGTGAGAATTTACATTAAATATAGTGCGTACGTACTTTTTTAAAAAAATGAAAAGAATGTGCACAAAACTAGGAGCATTTCCTCTAGGGGGTCATATAGAATTAACAAAAAAGGGGAGTTTCATTTCTTACTACGGTTTTTTGTACTTTTCTTTTTTTTTTGTTTTTTTGTTTTTTGGTAGACAAATAATGACTCATTGAGATATTTTTATTGGTGAAGTTAGTTATCTCATGCTGTACTGATTTAAGCCTAAGCATTTATTATTTAAAAATGGAGATAAAAATGATACAAATTACAAAAATCCAGCAATCTACTGCATAGACTAAACACTAGTAATAATTTATATCCTTCAAATATTTTCTATGCAAAAATATGCACACATATCATACATGGAATAATAATGTATGTTTGTATAATTGGAATTTTTTGTCATATACTGGTATGTAGTGGACTAGTTCTTATGTTATTAAAATTTCTCCTTCAAATCAGTTTTAATGGATTTGGCTAAATTTACGTAGCTATCAATTTATGTAACAATTTTTGTATTACATATTTAAGTTATTTTAACATTTATGAACATTCATTATTTTATTTACTAAGTATTATAATTTTGTAATAAAGATGAACATAAATATTGGTGCCCATCTCTTAATGACTTTCATGTGGTTAAGTTTTTGAAATTATATTTTTGAGTAAATACTTAATGATTTAATGCTTGATTGGTACTTTTCTAAACATGGTACTTAAAAATGTAGGCTGCATATGATATACAATTTCATAAATTATAAATACATATCTTCAAGAAGGGCAGTTTTATAAAATTTGCTAACTGATAAGTACATGCACTGGCACAAAATAATTTGTTAAACTGGAAAGAAATCTGAAATGAAACAAATGAAAACGTCAAATCACACTTCAGTAAAGAATCCTTTTTTAATTTCTAAAGCTGAAATATTCTTAATGTGCTAAAGGAGAGATGACTTACCATAGGCACTGGCTTTCCCTGATGGCAGTTGATACCACCAATGAAGACCATGTTGGGCATCACGGGTTTGGGATAGTCCAAAACAAAGTCCGTTCGCAGCAACCAAATTGATATTTGTCTGTGAAGATCATATACCGTGACAGGTGTTTGAAGAATTTCAGAGGCTATTTCTAGGGCACTTTTGAAAAAACGGTGGCATAATAAACGTTCCTCCAAGTGCATGACATGGTTCCGTACTCTCTCCTTGAAAGTCATGGCATCTGAGAACCCTAAGAGAATTCTGGGGACATAGGAAAGAGGAGCAGGGCACTGTGCACCTTCTTCAAGATAGTGGCAAAATATTCCCCTGGCGAAGACCACAGAGGGGAGGGAGAGATATTTGGCAACAATTAAGCCACAGGTATCAAAAGGATCCAGAAACACCGCATCAAAAGAACTCTCCTTTAAGTATTCTACCAATTTTTTGTCCTTAAACAAACTCCTGCAATTTGAAAAAAATAAGTCAAAAATGTCATTGTATGAACCCATTATTAGAGAAAATATACTTTGTACTCGTGCTTTCCATTGAGCCTGGGCAAAAGCCTTGAACTCCTGGTCCAGAACCTCCAGAGTGTATGAGGTTGAATAAGTCTTCACTGTGCAATTCAGTGATCTTCCCAGTTGCCAACTCACCTTTGGTATGACTACGACCACCTCATGCCCCTTGAGAATGAGTTTCTCCACCACTGACCTCATGGAGAACCAGTGGCTCCCATCCATGGGCACTACCAGCAGCTTCCCTGCCTCGGCAAAGCCACAGGCCAGCAGCAGACACACACATAGGGGAAGGGGACTGGTCCACCCTGTGCGAGCCATCAGAGAACTGCAGCCGAACGCAAGCAGCTGGGATTCTAAGCTCCTATGATACAGTAGACGGAAGAAGTACAGGCACAAAACCTGACCCCAATAAAGAGCATGTATTTATCCTTTCATTAAAAAAAAAAAAAATCAGTCACTGACAATGATTTACTCAAAAGAACAAGAATACACAAGTAGCCTTTGCTGAGATACCTATTTTTATGTTTTCCAGACAAGAATAGCTTACGTTCTTTGCCTTGGGGGCAGAACATGCCCTGTGCTGCAATGTGAGTTTAGAAGTAGAATTATTAACCAATCCTTTTGGACCTTGAAGGTTCAGAAAGATAAAGTAAAAGTAAATTTGATTAAAGCTAAAGTTTTAGGAATATGTCCCAAAGCAAAATTTCGATTTTACCTTTACGCAACCAAAAACTCTGTCCAGAAAAGATGGCAACTCATGCTCCAAGTAAAGAAAACAAGGACCTCAGCATTGATCTCCTAACCTCCTAACTTGGGGTTCACCTGTGTCTCTGCAATGTATATGCATTGCTGCTTGTCTTCTTCCATTTCCAAACCCTGAGAAGTCTCTAAAATGCTGAAATGAGACTGACAACCCTGCCTCCATGGACCATACCAGGGACTTGATGGAAAGTAATCATCACCTATTTTAATGGCTTTCCAAAGATACATTGCATGCAGTGCGGAGTTGCCCGCCCAGTTCTTGAGCGAGCACTCTGCTGAGCTGCCTCTCAGTGACTGCCCAACTTCCACATTCTAAATATGCCATTACTCCAGTGCCCTCTTTCAGGAAAATATATACTTGTCCCCCTCAGTCTGCTAAGCACTCCTTGAGGTCAGAGATGATGTCATCTTTGTGTTTTCACCCTCCTTTCACAGTACCCACGCTATGCCTTTGACATAGTTTGTATGTTTGTATGTTTGGCTTTACAAACAGGACTGCCCCATCCATAAACTTGCTAGCCCCCAAGCCTTGAAAGGAAAAGATTAATACCCGCTGCCAGTTTTTTTGTTGTACAAGAAGGCCTCGGCAAGAACACTTTTCTGGATTGGTTCTATCATTGCTTTGTCCCTGAAGTCAGGAAATATCTTGCCAGTGAGAGACTGTCTTTGAAAGTTCTTTTGTTTTGGACAATGCCCCGAGCCACCCAGAACCCACGAGTTCAACACTGAAGGTATCCAAGTGGTCTACCTGCCCGCAAACCCAACATCTCTAATTCAGCAACAAAAGGTGGGGGACATGGTCTTTCAAGATATGAAACTGGGAGAAATTCAAGAACGAATAGACACCACACCAGAGGACTCAACAGAAGATGACTTGATGGAGATGAGTGCTTTTGAATGAGTACCAGATACTAAAGAAGAAGCCATGCCAGGAAACAAATTCCTATTAAACAGTCTAGTAAAGGCTTCCGATTATTAAGATTACTTTTGACTTATTTTACAACACAAACCCTTCCATGAATGGGCACTGAAACTAAAGCAAATGGGGAAGAAGGATTAGTACTGCATAAAAGCATGTTCAAAGAATTGTAAAGGCAAAAAACTCAAATAATAATTATGATGTAATTCGGTAAAGTTACACCAAGTGTACCCGACTCTCCTCCTTCCATCTCCTCCACTTCTTCCCCCTCTGCCACCCCGAAACAGCAAAACCAACACTCCTCTTGCTCCTTCTCAGCCTACTCAATGGAGGACAGTCAACAGGAAGACCTTTATCAAGATCCACTCCCACTTAACGAATACTTAATTTTTTCTTCCTTAAGATTTTCTTAGTAACATTTTCTTTTCTCTAGCTGACTGTATAATAATAATACAGTATATAACACATATAACGTACCAAATATGTGTCAAGAGACTGTTTCTGTTATTGGTAACACTTCTAATGTACAGCAGGTGATCAATAGTTAAATTTTTAGGGAGTCAAAAATTCTGTGTGCCAGGCGCGGTGGCTCACACCTGTAGTCCAAGCACTTTGGGAGGCCAAGGTGGGTGTATCACTGGAGGTCAGGAGTTGGAGACCAGGCTGGCCAACATGGTGAAACCCTATCTCTACTAAAAATGCAAAAACTTAGCTGCGTGTGGTGGTGCAAGCCTTTAATCCTAGCTACTCTGGAGGCTGAGGCAGGAGAATCACTTGAACCCGGGAGGTGGAGGTTGCACTGAGCTGAGATCACGCCACTGTACTCTAACCTTGGCAACAGAGTGCGACTCTGTCTCAAAAATAAAAAACAAAAAGAAACTCAAAAAACTCTTCTATGCTAATTTTCTACTGCTTGGGGGTTGGTACCTCAATCCTCGCATTCTTCAAGGGTCAAATGTACTAGCAATGAACAGTTGAAAATTGGAGTGAAAACAGCACCTAAATAGAATCAAAAATAAAAAATACTAAGAGATAAATCTGACAAAAGATGTGAAAGACTGTACACCGAAAATGACAAAAAATTGATGAGAGACCTGAATAAATAGATATGTTCATGAATCAGAAAACTCAAAATCGTTAAAATGTCATTTTTCTTTAGTTGATCTATAAATTTAATACAACCCCAATCTAAATTCCAGCAAGCTATCTTTTTGTACAAGCTGGCAAACTGATTCTGAAATTCATATGGAAATGTAAAAGACCTACAATAACAAAAATGGAGAGCAATAATTACCTAATGTCAAGACTTATTACAAGTATACAGTACTCAAATATTTCACTAACAGATCGTTGGAACAGAATAGAATACCCAGAAATAGAAGCATGAGCAACCAAGTTTTTTCAAAGGTGCAAAGGCAAGTCTGTGAGGAAAAGATGACTCTTCAACAGTTGGGTATCCATTCGCAAGACAGTGGGAAAAGACATTACCCTGTGCTCTTCCTCCTAAAAACCTGTAACCCATGTTACCATGATCAAAACATTAGACAAATTCAAACTGAGGAACGTTCTATTGAATACCTCCACCGGAATTGCTCAAAACTGACAAAGTAATCAAAACCAAGGAAACTCTGAAAAACTGTCACAGGCTAGAGGAGATGAAACAAATGTGATGAGTAAATGTCATGTGGTATCCTGGATGGGATCCCAGAAAAGAAGAAGGACATTAGGTAAAAATTAATGACATCTGAAGAAAACATAGACTTTGGTTCATTGTAATGTGTCAGTGTTGGTTAATGAGTTGTGATAAATGTGCATAGGTGCTGGAGAGGATGTTGGTGGGAGTGTAAACTAGTTCAACAATTGTGGAAGACAGTGTGGCGATTCCTCAAGGATCTAGAACTACAAATACCATTTGACCCAGTGATCCCATTACTGGGTATATACCCAAAGGATTATAAACCATGGTACTATAAAGACATATGCACACAGATGTTTATTGTGGCACTGTTCACAATAGCAAAGACTTGGAACCAACCCAAATGTCCATCAATGATAGACTGGATTAAGAAAATGTGGCACATCCATACCATGGAATACTATGCAGCCATAAAAAAGGATGAGTTCATGTCCTTTGTAGTAACATGGATGAAGCTGGAAACCATCATTCTCAGCAAGTTATCGCAAGGACAGAAAACTAAACATCGCATGTTCTCACTCGTCAGGGGGAAATGAACAGTAAGAACACTTGGACACAGGAAGGGGAACGTCACACACCAGGGCCTGTCGTGAGTTGGCAGGATGGCGGAGAGATAGCATTAGGAGAAATACCTAATGTAAATGATGAGTTAATGGGTGCAGCAAACCAACACAGCACATGTATACATATGTAACAAACCTGCACATTGTGCACATGTACCCTAGAACTTAAAGTATAATTTTTAAAAATGTGCATAGTAACCTAACATTTAGCGATAGGCGAAACTGGCAAAAGATATATGGGAATTCTCAGGGCAATTTTTTGCACCCTTGCTTTAAATCTAATTTTATTGTAAAATAAAAAGTTTATTTTAAAAAAGACATCTACACACTGGTAAATGATAAATATCCAGAATATAAATAACCTTTAAAATTCAATTTTAAAAAATGTTTTTTAATGAGCAAAGATTTGAACAGAGAGTAATCCAAGAAGGTACACATATGCCAAACAGGCACATGTAAAGACGTTCAAGATAACTAATGATTAGGGTGATCAAACTGAGGTTTAATCCACATCCCATTAAAATAGCTGCAATGAAAAAGACTGACCATATCAAATGATACAGTTGAGTTATCTGTCCCTACAAAATCAGTGTTCAAATGTGATCCCTAATGTTGGAAGTGGGGATTAGTGGGAGGTGTTTGGATGGATCCCTGATGAATGACCTAGTGCCCCCTCCCAGTAACGAGTGAACTTTCCATCTATTAGTTTCAGCAAGAACTGATTGTTAAAAAGAGCCTGGCACCTGCCTGCTTCTTCTCTTGCTTCTCTCTCGCCATGTGATCAGCACCCTCCACCCTCACCTTCTGCCATGAGTGGAAATAGCCTGAGTCTCTCACCTGATGTGGAAGCTGGTGCCATGCTTCTTGTGCCACCTGAATGAACCACAAGCCAAATAAACATGCTTTCTTTATAAATTAACCAACCTCAGGTATTCCTTTATCGCAATGCAAACAGACTAAGACATCAAGTGTTGGTGAGTATGAAGAGCTGGACCTCTCATATGCTGGTGGTGGGAGGACACCTTGGTCTGGCCGCTTGTAAATATTGTTTAGCAAATTCTCAAAAAGGTAAACATACACCTACCATAGATCAAGCTATTCCACTGTTGGGTATTTATCCATAAGAATAAAATACTTCCTGTATTGTGTGTATTTTTAAATTTTCGGTATATTATATTTTCTCATCTTAAAAATCTCTATCTGGTAGGGATGCAGTGCACCTTCCTGGGCCAGCCAATTATGAGAGACAGCAAAGAGCCTGCCCTTAGAGCTCAGAGCCCACTGAAATTATTCAAACTGACCAGTGCTAAACTGTTTCCCCCTCCCTGCCTTGTGTTTCTTGCAGAAACTTCAGTAGAGCTACGGTCTAGCCTCTACCCTCACTCCTGTTCTTTCTGCCTCACTATATTTCAAGTAAAATAGTGTACAGGGTATTACTTTGCCACAGACACTACTTCCAGTCTACAGCAATCAGGGTT